CTAAAGTGTATGAAAAATAATTATCTTGAGTGCTGTTGCTAATAGTTCCATTTATCTGCCAGTTATGCAGTGAACAGGGGGAATGGCCCGAAGGCAGGTGTATTCCTGTGGTTTTGCTTGTTGGCTATTTTGCCAGCTGTCGCAGGTGAAACAGATCTCCACTGGACAACTCGCCTGCTAGTCTTCAAGCGAGCAGAAGTGCTGTTTTCTTTTAAATAGTCTGTTTGAAGCTGTGTGCTTGCTCATGTGTACACTCAGTACCTTTGGAGCTTGAAACGTGCTCCCAGGATGTTCTTGGAGCATTTAAGCGGACATGTCAGTGGCCTCGCTAAGTGTGGAAGGGGTTGAAGATACACGTTTCAACTGCAAAAACTTTCCCACTGTGCTCAGCTTAAGGAACCACACTAAAAGTTTTGGTGTCTGCTGTGTAACTTGTTCCTATCTGGGGCTTGAGCCAAAATTGCAGGAGAGCGCTCTTGTTTTTCTTCTTGAATCCTGCTTTGTTTTCACCATACCTGCCTGTGGTGGTGGGGTTTTTTTATTGCTGATGAAAGAAAAGATGGCTGTGGGCTCGCATTAGCCCTAAGATTAGAGTAAGGATTTAATGGCTCTTGGCTAGGAACTTCAGAAAGCATTTATAGGTTGTATTTTTAAAAGTTCGTAACACTTGCAGTTGAGACGAGAATTTTGGGTGTTGTCAGGAAGACAGAAAAAGTGGTTGGGTTTTGGTTTATTGGTTGGGGTTTTTTGTTTGGTTGGTTTTGTTTTGATTTGATTTTTTGTTTAACAAGTTGCATGGCATCATCCTCTGTTTGTAAAAACCAGCAACTGAGTCCGAATGGAGGACAATGTTTGCCTAGTTGTCCTGATTTGGGAGTGTCTGTTCTTGCAGGATCCAGTAAGTATAGAAATCTGACAGTTTGATGTGTTTGCAGCTGCTTCTTTAATGTCAACTGAAGAAGTATCAGTGACCTTAACTGACACTTATCTGTTTTGTTTCTCTTTAATAAGAGTTGTACAAAATAATCAAACAACAGAAAGATACTGTCTGCTGTTCCTGAGAGCTTTTGTTTGTTTCAGTAACAGATTAAACATGTTACAAGACTTGACAGTTTTAATGCTACTGAGCTATTTACTTTTTGCTTCAGTAAAAGGATGCTTCTGAAAACAGGACTTAGTACACAATAGTTGTGCTAAAATAGTTTCCCCGTTATATTCTTAAAATTGAAAATGTTTTAATGAATGATCTTAACCCTGCCTTTATAATCTATACAGAATTGTATTCTTCAATAAGGAAACATCTTGTAAAATCTTCATTAATGTTCAAAAAGTGTTTTGCTACAGTTCCCACCTTTCTATGATGTTCTTATTAATTTTTTATTCCTTAAGATTCCTCGTGTTTAATTATAAAATGTAATTTTTGCTATAAAGCGTGACCACAATGTGCTCTAGTCTACAGAGAAGCAGAAGCCTTCCGTTCTAGCAAAACTGTGCTCTCTTATGTCTTTCCTGGTGCACTTCTGCAGGAAGTGAAGTACATCAAATATATCAGGATTCTCATGAAAAGAGGCACAGGATCTGTGGGATTTTTGTATGTTCAACTTGAGCATACAAAGCAATTCCAAGATAGATCTTTCCAGTGACAAAACAGAAAAGTCAATCTTCTATTTCCACATGCTGTGTCTCCTCTGTCTCAACAGATGTAAAGTGGAATCATATAAAGGAGTTTATTCTTGATTTGCATTTTAGGTGTTTTTTTTTTTTTTTAAGAATTTACTGTTAATCTTTTATTTTTATATAAATTGTTTACCCAAAATTTTAACAGGTAAATTGAGCACTATTGTAATAAAATGCCTCTCTGTTCACTTCCCTAGAACTTGCTTGGTTTTTACCCAGATAAAACTTGTCTTGTGTGTAATTTTTCTTAGAGCTAGAAAATGCAAAAATTCTGCAATTGTTAAACCACTCAGTGAAAAATGGTAAAGCTCACATTACACAGATGGAACAAAAAATCACTTTGTGCTGGTCAAGAATACCCAGAGGCTTTTCTGTGCGCTGAGTTTTGTTATCTCAGATGACTCCCCCACACTGTGACCAGTATGTGCTCCAAAAGGGTCATCTTGGGTTTCAGGTGTCCAGGTAACGAGCGGAGTTTTAACAGACAGGTGAACCAAACTGAAGGGTAATAATATGTGTGTGCTGCCAAGCTGCCTAGATTGCTACGGGTAAACGCGATTCTGCAAGAGCTGCAGAGTGTGGAACAGGAACCGTGCCATGTTCAAATAATCGAGAGGCTCAGCCCGAGTTCCTTGACTGCTGACAAACACCTTGCACGTAGGCAAAGCAAGTCCTTAGTGAAAATGGTGAAGAAACCAGGAAAAGGATCCTCAGCAGATGATTTATATAAAGCAAGGAAAGGGGCAGGGGATTCTGCAGTCTGTTTTGAGCTGTAAAGGGACAGGTACTAAGGAGCTTTAATGAGCATGGCGTTTTGGTGATTTTGCATCAGGCCTACAAGAGAGAGGTTGCACAAACAGTTAAGGCCACCGCCTGTGTAGACCTCAGGGATGCAGCTTTTATGTACTTCCATCAAACTTGGGAGAACATCTGCAGTGCAACTGCAACAGTTATTCAGCTGTGGAAAGTAAATCGAGACAGTTTTCAATAAGAGACTGATAGACGCTTTCAGGGTGCTGCCTGGATCTTTTCCCACATTGCTTATCAATGTTGCCAATGATCTAATTCTTGTTTTCACTGTTTCAGATTTTATTTCAAAGTCAGGAGGGAATGATATCTAATATTCATGTTGTTAGCATGCGCGTACTCTGGCACTATTGGTCTGCAACAATTAATTTAGAGAGACTTGTGTTTGAACATGATTTTAATGTGTGGGGTTTTTTCCTTCAGTATCAAGCTGGCTTTTGCTTAGTGCTCTGTTTCAAATATTATTCTGAAAGGGCCTTCCCTGAACGGAGATATGGGATTTGAGGCTGTAAGGCAGATGTAGACAATGACAGCAAGATGATGATGATGATAGAATCATAGAATCATCTGGTTGGAAGAGACTCTCAAGATCATCAAGTCCAACCATTCACCCTGCACTGTCAGGGTCCCTAAACCATGTTCCTCAACACCAAATCCACACGGTTTTTAAACACCTCCAGGGATGGGGACTCCACCACCTCTCTGGGCAGCCTGTTCCAATACTTCACAACTCTCTCTGTAAATAAATTTTTCCTGATATCTAACCTAAATTTCCCCTGGTGTAACTTGAGGCTGTTCCCTCTCGTCCTGTCATTCATAACATGGGAGAAGAGACCGACCCCCATCTCCCTACAACTTCCTTTCAGGTAATTGTAATAATAATAATAATAACAATTATAACTATAATAATAATTATAACTATAATAATAATTACACTTGGTGTTTTACTCCTTAGCAGGAGGAAGGAAGGTTCCTTGCAGGAACAAATGGTAAAACTGGCACGGTGTGCCCACAGCAGAGACTTGAGAGAGCAAACTATTCACAGGCCTCATACCGAATGCTGACGGTCTTTTCCCATGCAAGAAGAAAGCTTGCAATGGTTTCTGCACCTGCAAGGAGTATCCTAGCAACTTCAATGAGGAAACTGTATGCCAAGACTTTTTTCTGAGTGCTTTTTGTTGAACATAGCAGCAATTGTAAAACAAAGGTCAAGAGCAATTTAAGCTCTTCAGAGTGCTGTTGCTTAATTCACTTACTCAGAGAAATGTTTGTGTCGTAGCTTTCTGCCTAAAGGATGAATATCGGGTTGCAGGGTCATCCAACAGTCTATCCAATTGCAGTTTAGTTAAACGTGAGTATCACTTAATCGAAAAGGTCACTTTTTACTTGCGTTAGCATGTAAGACTAGTTTTTGCCTTGTGAGGTAACCAGGAGTCCCTGCTGCCTTCTGCCTGCTCCGACAGCTGAGGATACCCAGGGGCTTTCCGTGCAGCCCAGCACAGGGAAGCACAGAACACTACCAGGTAGTGGGAAGAGATCATCAGTCCAATTAAATAAAAAGAAGGAAGCTTTTTTTCTTGTCCAAGAAGGTGTATGCGGTCATTGTCTTACTGTGTGCACAGACCTCAGGTGAGTCCCTGCTTCGTGCTTTGTCGTCAGCTTCCAGGGAAAATACTTATTTCAGGTATTCCTACATCGTTCCCTGGTACCACGTCGGAAGTACTTGCTGGGCTTGCTCTTACCAGCCTTGTCATCTCGCGAAGCGGAGAGGGCAGTGTTCATCTTTGTGGCTTATGGATGGGGGAGTTGAGGTGAAGGTCTAAGACCCTTTTCAGTACCCTGGGGTGGGGTTGTAGAGCTACTGGGGCAGCTGGGCCATCATGCTCTCAGCCCCTCTGAGCTTCTGCTTTCATCGTGCAGAACAGGGACAATGTTACTGTCTCTCACCAGGAGAGATGGTGATATAGCCTAAAAAATGGATGCAGTTGTAACAAGAGTTTGTTGCCTTCTGCCCAGTCTAGTAGATAATCTCTAGTTCTAGAGCCTGGTTTAAAAAAGGAATTTTTATCAGTTCTATTTAAATTTATGTGCTAGACAAGGGACAAAGCCTGTTGCTGGTCTTTTTTTTCCCTGTATTCTGACTCGGTGAAAAGATTTTGTGCTTATATTATTGGATATTGACCTTTTTCATTAGCTACCTAGAGAAATGCAGGTTCTGCATGGTTTCATATGTAAAGAGTCATCTAAAAAGTCAGCAGTCATCAGACATAATTCTCTCTCAGCTCCCTGTTTATTAAGCTAAATGATGGTTTAAGCTGGAATTTATTACCAAACTAACGTACTTAAAGTAACCTTCTGTTCCTTCATTACAAAGGCACTTGAAAAGAGCTAGAGCCATTTTCCTTCCCTGACAAATATTTCTGAGTAATTTGCCCAAGAAAATTAGCTGAGGACAAGGTGCTTGTAAAGGAAACACCATTCCATTCAAATGATTCTTTTTTTTTTTCCCCTCCTTCTGGACTTCAGGTGATGTGACCCGTTCTCATGAACCCTCTCTTGCCGCCACGCTCCGTTCCTCTGGCAGAAGGAATATGCCGTACTGTATCAGAGATGAATGCAAACCACGTGATGGTCACGCAGGAAACTTTAATGGAGCAGTTAGTGAAAAATTATCCAGGTAACGTGTTCATTTCTCCCTCCGTTTAAAAGTAACTGAATCATCAAGCTTGAGTTTCTGATATTGGGCATGTGATCACCAAAAGTTTGCAAACAAAGCTGGCAGTACGAAAGAGTATAAATTAACAATCAGGCAACTGGGTAGAATACATGGATATGCATACTCATCAATCCCTGAGTGTCGCTAACACTGTCCTGATGTAATCCTTTTTATGGATTTTAATAAATCCTCTTCGGGAATAAGAGGGAACTGAGTGCAGCAGCATGTTGAGAGCATGCCCTTTCTAGAGGGTGGGAAAGCACACGAGTTAATTTAGGTGCCAGATATGGAACAGGACAAAATACCCTGTGTGTCAGATCACAAAGACTTTGAGTCCTCCTTTAAGGGACAGGAACATAGCTGAATTTGACGACCAAGGAAAGTCTTCATCTGGTGTTTGCTATCAAAAAGTACAACTGGCCTCAAATTCAGGTTTGTTGGGCTAATTTCAGCCCCTTCTTTCCTGAAAGCAAATCACATGCACTAACTGAGCTTTAATCCTTCTCGTCTGACCGGGTAGCAGCCACTTCCCTTAAATGCTGTGTTTTCTTTTCAGTCTGAAAAATATTAAATTTCTCTTAGATTTGTAATATTGGAGAGAGAGAGACTTTGTAAAGGCTCATTACAGCCCTCTGCAGGACGTTGCTTTCTTTGATACCGAGCTTCCTCTTTTGACTCTTCTCAACCTTACGGCTCTGCAAACATTACGGGTTGATCCGGTAGGCATTTTCACTACTGGGAAAAGTTTTAATGCAACCCCATAAACTGGTCCAGAACCCTGCCAGGAATGTGATGTAGTCCATATGTGCACAGATAGAACCACAAGGTAGCATTTTTAGGTCACCGAGAAGTAGCACACTCAAAGTTTGCAGGGAGAGAGCGTATTTCTTGCTGTTCTCACCTTGCAGGAAGATCTCATTTTTGTGGGCAAGAGATCAGCAGAAGCCTGGGGCAGTAGATGAGATGTCACTAAACTAATAACTCTGGGACTGTGACACCTGAGGGGAAATCAGTGGCTGAGACCTGTCCCAGTGAGGTAAACTTTGGTAGGATTGTCATCTGACAATTACACCAGAAGCTTCAGAGAGAGCGATAAAGGCTGCTGTAAAATAACCTGCCAAGAGAGAGACAGTTTGAACAACACACTGTTTGGCTTAGACCTGGCAGAAGGTCTCTCTCATGAATATCATATCCTGACAGATGCAAAGAGAACACCCTTCCTTATTCGGAGGAGAACATCCTCAGCTCCATCACAGCAGTGCTGCAGTGACAACCAGAAATGCAGCTGGCCTTTTACCTTCCTCCTCAGGGGTGACCTGGCCTCATCAGTGAGGAATGCCCGTGGCAAAGTTACAAAGGGGTTTACTGATGTGTAAGACACCGACCGGCAGGATGGCACCTACCAGAGTCCTTGGCTGGATGGTGTTTCTGGGCTGCCCTCACCTGGCTGGCCCAGAAGGGGTCTCCCTGACTCAGGGCTGCAGCCTGTACTGGCTCAAAAATTTGGGGCAGCCCTCGCTGCCCTCCACGTGGGGACACGGCTGTAGAGTGAGGCTGTCCCTGTTCTGCAGGGAGCCCAGGACTGAGGCCTGAGTCCAGGACAGCTGGATGAAAGCACAATTGCTGGCTCTGGAAGCTCAGCATAGTAGTGATGAATTAAAAAAAAAATAATCCTGCCTTTTGTTCAGTGATACCGGACACTTTCATGTTGAAATTGAGTATGCCCTGCTCAAATTTCAGTTTCCAGGTCAGTTTCAAGCTTCTTTTGGAATCCCGTGAACTAAATATATTGGGTATTTCATATCCAGTCACTTCCAGATCTGACATACCTAAGTTATTTTTTTTGCCAGTTCCCATTTTATTTGAATAGTTATTTCTGATTTGAAATATCTGTATCTGTTGTAGGCATTGCAGTTCCCTCCCACAATATCCTATATAATATCCTTGGCACTCTAATTAAAGAAAGGAAAATCTATCATACGGGAGAAGGATACTTCATTGTGACTCCCAACACATACTTTATCACAAATGGTGCCACAGAAGACAACGGAAGGGTCTCGTCGGAGGAGGACAGTTGTTGCTGTTCATCACACTCCATCACTTACCTTGTAAACAGTGAGCGCTGTGCAGACCTAGTGAAAGAAAACATTCCTACAGTATCCCATTACAGATCCTGCCATTGTTTCCCTAACCAGAGTACGCTCTGTGAAAAACGACATCAGCAACTAATGAACCATGAACCTAATGGAGGAGGTAAGAAAGGCTGCAGTGAATTGAAATCTTCAGTTCAAACTCAAGCGATCTCCACATCTGCTGAAAACCACTCCCATGGTACCAACAAATCCCTGACATCAGTGAAAGAGAAACTGAAATGCAAAAGGTTTGGCCTTGGCCTTTTCTGGAGAAGCGCTTCTAAAAAAGAAAAACATAAGGAGTACTCCACTTTTTCAGCTCAGTTTCCTCCCAAGCAGTGGCCAGTCAGGGATGAAGATGACTTAGATAATATTCCTCGTGATATTGAACATGAAATCATCAAGCGTATTAACCCTACTCTTACAGTTGATAATTTGATGAAGCACACAATATTAATGCAGACGTTTGAGGAGCAGGGAAAATACAGCAGTACGCGTATCTCGGCCAAAGTGTCAACAGTCAGGCAACACCATCTTTCAAAGGATTGTGTTCAGAAGACACAAAGTAAAACAGCAAAACACATCAGCAAAACCAAATCAAAGAAAGAGAAGCAGACTAGCAGAAGCAACGGGAAATCTCAAGTACATGAGTTAACATCCCAAAATGAGAAACTGGAAGAGAATCCTTTGCTGCCTACCAGAAATCAACAGCCACTTGATGTAGCAGTGGAATCCCATGTCTTGTATAAAAAACAAATTAACAACCCTTTTCAGGGTCTGTCATGGAGACGCAACTTTTATGTGAAAAGGTACAAAAGTACTATCAACAGTCAGCTGAAGTTCAGGGCTCGAAAGCAAGAAAGAGGTTTGCAGAGGCCACAGACCTTGGACTCCTCAAAAACCTTTGAATATGAAGCTGAAGAGCAGGTTACTGAAATGCAGGCTGACAAAGCTAAGCAAAAGAAGCCACTGCACGCTAATAGGTCTTCCCTCCTACTAGAGAAAGGCAGTTTAAGTGAAAACTTTAGTTATCCACAAGGCAGTACTTTGCAACCAGATAATAAATGTAAATATATTATTAGTCCAGAGACTAATATTTGTGAAGAAAACATCTACAGAAGAAGAGTTAAAAAAAATTCTGGGGATGTTAAAAAATCCCCTCACTCCTACACTGGACATAAAGGTGTGTGCAAAGAAGATGCAAAATTTCCATTAAATCTGAAAGATGAATATTGCAGGTGCAAAGCTGACACTCTACATGAGTTATTAGATGAAACAGCAAACTTATTTCAAAATGTCTGTCTTTCAAATTATACAGCCAATGTCAGCCTGGTAAAAAAAAAAAGGTGTGAAATACAGACAAAATACTGATAAAAAGAGTGAACTTATATTTAAATACAACTGTGCCAGCCATTCCGGATCAATGAAGCTGGAAAGTGAAGGATTTACTGAGAACTGCCATCTTCTGTACCAAAAAGCACACAATGGTGAAACCTGTAGCTCCTTTCATCTAGGTGACAATTTTGAAAGCAATGAACTATGTTATCTGCCTCCTGGCCATGCGTTTTCAGATACAGGAGACTGGAGCAAAGCTGTGCCAAAGCTGGGGACAGCTACGTCCCTAGAAAACTGCAAGGTTGATACTTATCCAGCCCAGTACAACACAACTGTAAATAAACGTGACTCTGGAGAGCACGGATACAAGGGAAGTGTTATTTTTGCAGAATTAGTAGATGGCTCAAAAGAGCATCCAGAAACTGATCTCACAGAAGAAAGTTGTTTGTGCAGTCAAGTTTTTCCAATAGGTCACAGAAAGGAAGAAGAAAGTGGCCTTGCTGAACATGCCAAGGCTTCGGCTATAGCAGGTTTCTGCCATGCTGGTGAGGCTGACTCAGATGCTGACACTTTGCAGAACTTCACCTATGAGATGGGTGAAGTGGCGGCGTGCTGTGGTTTGGGCTCACAGACCAAAGAAACAAGAAACCCTCTGGGAAAAGATCTGGTTTTTACGAATGCATGTACTGTGGTATCGGGCCAGGAACACTTGGAAGGAACAGAAAACCACAGCATTACAGGAGACAGTGGAATTGACTCACCAAGGTAAGAAAACACATGTAACTATTAGACGTTTTATCTTCAAATTGAAAATCAGATTTAGGCAGAAATGTTGCTGTAAATAATAACCCCCCTCCCTTCTTACAAGAAAGAAATTTTCCACTCTGAGGGTGGTGAGGCAGTGGAACAGGTTGCTCAGAGAAGTTGTGGATGCACCATCCCTGGAAGTGTTCAAGGCCAGGTTGGATGAGGCTTTGGGCAACCTGGTGTAGTGGAGGATGTCCCTGCCCATGGCACAGGGGTTGGAACTAGATGATCTCCGAGGTCCCTTCCAACCCAAACCATTCTGTGATTCATCATTCTATCATTCCCCAACAACAAATTATCTTCAAAAACTTAAATGTTATGTCTCAGAAATACTCAAACTGTATAGGTCTATCGCGTTTTTTTCCATAAACATTCCCCCTAAATCAGCTATACAAATGCTTCTATGATTCCCCAACAACAAATTATCTTCAAAAACTTAAATGTTATATCCCAGAAATACTCAAACTGTATAGGTCTATCGCATTTTTTTCCATGAACATTCCCCCTAAATCAGCTATACAAATGCTGCTGTTTATATTTTGTGGTTTTTTTTCATGAGGCAAGCAAATAGTACAAGCTCTGCCTTGCAGATAGAGATGGCCAAGCGCAGAAATGTTAAGAAACACGGTGATTGCTAAACTCCTGTTAGGAGGCAGGTTCAGCTTGCATTGATCTTGGTGGATCAATATCAACATTATGGATATTGTCATAGTTTCCCCAGTTGTAGGTGAAGAATAAAAAATGCTTTATAGAGGTGCTCAATCACAATTAAAAGTACAAAATACCACCTGACTTGCTCACAATAGACAGGAGAATGTGTGCATCACTTGTGCTAGAAGCTCCTGCTTCCTTTCCTAGGGTATGTTTTGTGTGTAACCATACTTGAAAAATCCCTTAACGAAAAGCAAATTGGTATGAAATAATTTCTCACACAGTTGCATGTGGAAAACACCTACAAAACTTAATTAAATGGGCAAGAACATAAGTTAAAATGCTGTGAGGAAAAAAATCATATCCCTTTTTTTAATAGCATCACATATTCTTAAGATCGTAAATGACTGGTATTTAAGTGTGATTAAACCATTTGAGTTCTCATTAGATATGTACCGTCACCTTGACAAGCTAGTACATGAAGGAACAAATCACATACTATAGTTTTTAAGGAAATTCTGCCTTTTTTTTTTTTTCTTCCCTCTTAATCAGCTTTTGGCTGTGCACTCTTTCAAGCACACTTCTAGTGTATTACTTGGACATGAACACTTGAAATCTTTTGGATGCTTTTTAGCAAAATGTATTTCAAAGGGTCATTTTGATTGTATTGATGCCATCTGTGGTACCAGAAGCTAAGCCAACTCAGCTTATTTTTAGAATGTGAAGTCTGATGTCTAATAATTCTGTTATTTTAGATGGACTGTAAAGAAGATGAAGCTTCCTGCCAAATTCTGAAAGCATAAATACTGATGCAAAGAGGAGGACAAAGTGGAAGGACAATTGCAACAAAATTTCTTGCTTCGGCTAACTCTGGTCATGAATATTTCAGGTGGTTTTTAATGAGCTTTGTAAACTTTCCCTTTGAAACAAGGGAACCATACTGTAAATGCGATTAGCAACATCTCTGAGGCTGTCTCTAAATCAAAGCTGTTAGCTAAAGCTTTTGACCATAGCATTCAGAGAGCTAATGTGTATTTCTGTTGCTTTCATCTTTGATTAGTTTTTGCGTTCCTGTGATAATAAAAGTGTAAACAGATACACTTCATCCAGATCACACCATTAAGCTGGAAAGGACATGTGTTGCTCTTACAGGAACTGTATCAGTTGGACAGGACTGTTTTACACTGTAATTCTTGAAAGTGTTTCCTACTTGTGTCACAGAAATAACAGCAAGCTCCATCTCCCCTGTCAAAAAACAAAGGAAACGAGCTAGATTGGCACACACCTTGTAACTACAAAAACTCCTTGAATCCTGAGGTTTTCCTCACTGAGTCCTGAAGAAATCTCGGATGTCCTCCTGAATCTACTCGGCGCGTTTAGATATGGCAAGTAGGACTTAGTCTTTGCAAATGAAAACGTGTTGGTGCAGGAGACCACAGGTGAGGTCAGTGGGATTCCTTTGAGAGAAACCCAACATCCTGCTAGCCATCAGGATCACTTTATAGCTTTTACTTCGGAAGACTAATTTTGACTCCTTAATCCTGATTTCTTCCTGTAGTTACAAGCGGACTGTGCTGTTTTCATGCTGCTGATCACCAACGGGTCGCGGTCCTTTTTTTAAGTCTCACAGAGGCACTTGGTCACACCGCTATCGGCTCTGTTAGGCTCTCTCACCACTGAAAACTTGCCTCCGGTGGTTGTGGAGACAAAAGGCTAAAGCTGCAATCATCGTTTCTTAAAGCTATTGCAGATTTCTCCTAGAGAAGGCGCCTCTGTCTGTGAGGAAGGGGAGGAGGCTGCGTTTGTGTGGGCCGGGGCTGAGCAGAGCCCTGCAGCGCGCTCTCACGGACAGCTTCAGTCACGGCGTTATGGCGGTTTCCCC